GCAATTGCTTAGCATCAAATTTGTTTGATCCGTATTAAGCATCAAACTATGAAAATTAACTCCGTAGATCTTCCTTCGTTTTGCTTCTGTTACTATGAAAACATTTACTAATTATTAGAGCCTGCAATTATTACATAAAACATTATTTGGCTTGCACAGGCAAATACAATGTTCACATGTTCTTAAAGTTATGCCATCATAACTACATCTTTTTCACTCAAGTTTAAGCTTCGAGTAACTTACTTAGAGACCAATTAAGTTGAAAAACTAACGATATATATTAAAAATTGAAACAGATAGTTCAGGGAAAGCTACTATTGCATATAAAGTTGGTTTTGTAATAATTGTTTACATTGGTTGTTGATATATATTGTCTTGACATCCTATACTAAACTAACCTCCATCAAACACATTGAAAATAGTAGGTATGGGTTTAATGATTAGAAAACTGGTTTGTCTACTTGCAGTGTAGTATGCTTATTGCAGTGTAGTATTCTTAATACATATATGGTTGTGGTGATAGTGTATGAACACCACTAATCATATTGGTTTCCAATTTTGTGTAGAACACCGTTAATTGATAGTCTTTGTTACTTTTTAATATGGAAACTAGCTTAGAATGTTATTCTCTGCTTCTTTTCTTTTTTTATTACCAAGATGAATTCAATTTGTTGTCAATGGTGAGTTGGTTTTGTAATAATTATTTATGTTGGTTGTTGATTTAGATTTTTTTTTTTCCTATTGGTTGGTGTGCTTCTTTTATTTTTATTTTTTTGAAGTACATTAGTTAATGTCGTTTGGTTTTATCAGTTGATACTTCTAATACTAATACAATTTGGTTTGGGCCATACCTTGAATGTGACTTTTTATTTTTCTCATATTTTTCTTTCCTTTCCAAATTGGAAGTAAGTTTATCTTCTCTGTGTTCTGATTCATTCAGGAAAGGTGACTACTACCGATATCTTGTTGAGTTTATGACTGACCAGGAAAGAAAAGAGGTTGCTGAACAATCACTGAAGGGTCATGAGGCATGTTGATCAATTGTCTTGACATCCTATACTAGAGATATGCATAGTGAATTGCTGCATATTGACATAGTTTTGTTTTTAACCTTCACTTGATGTGTCTTCTTGATGCTGTTCTTTCTTCTTTTTCTTTTTTTAGGCTGCTTCTACCACTGCAAATACAGATCTCCCTTCAACACACCCAATTCGTCTTGGCCTTGCTCTCAACTTCTCTGTCTTCTATTATGAGATTATGAATTCTCTTAAGAGGTTATTCTTAATTCCTACGTATCTGGTGTCATAATAAACAATGGGCAATTTTTAAGGGGTTGATTTTGGATAATGGAGCTTGCTTGCTTATATTTTCTATTCTTCCTTTTGTTTCAGGTACATATGCCTTGGCTTGAAGGAGTGTTTGATTAGCTCATAAAAAGTTGTTGTGACTTTGTTTGCCGCAATGGTTGATTAGGTAACTGGTCTGCCTTCCATTGATGGATTTATCAATAATTTGTTGCTTATCTATTGTTCAAATTAAGAATCTTAAATTTTTATTAGATAGGCTTCATTTACATATTGCTATCTTCTGGATTATTAGTTAGGTTCAGAACTAAGAAGAGCGAGTACCTGATTTTTTTATGGTGATAACTTGGGCCTTCTATTTTAATTTTTGAATTTCATACAATTTTGATGATAATCATTGTGATAATTTTTACTATAGTTTTGAAAATTAGCATGGTTTAGAATGCCTTTATGTTTGATTTTGCTTTGTTTTGATTAGACTTGAAAAATTCAGGTTATACAATGAATGGAAGTGTTGTGTGGGTCTATTAGTAAATTTTTCAAGAAATAGAGAGCAATGGCACAAGTGAGCCTTTTTTTTTCTTCACAATTTTATATCCTTGTTTGGGGAACTAGAAGTGCATTTATGGAGTTTCTTTTTATTGTAATTTTTCTTCTTGATATAGGTGATTTTGGAGGTGGAAGAGAAATTTAGATCAGGTTGATTCAATAGAATAACTTTGCCTACTACTTTTTCCACACCCTATAACTTTACCAGTGCTTATAATCAATTAAAATTTTCATTTTAAAATTTAAACACTGTAGGTACAATTGTATATTCATTTTAAAATAGATGTGACAAACAAATATGATTATAATAAATTAAAATTTTGATTGGAGGGGTTAGAGTTAATTTTTTTTTCTTCTTCCTTTTACCCCTGTGACTCTTAACTCAATATATTTTAGTTTTATTGGGTGAAAATCATCTGTTATTTTGTACAAGAGTTGCACCTGTTCTTTCCTTTCTTTTGTTTTTTTTTTTTTTCTTTCTTTCTTTCTTTCTTTCTTTCTTCTTCTTCTCCTCTCATTTTTTATTTTATTTTCAGAGTGAGGATTGTAAGTTGTGATAAATAAATAAAAAAAAGGGTAAATTACAAAACACCCCTTGAGATTTACTTAAATTACAAATTTCCCCCTGTGGTTCTAGAAATTACATTATGTGCTCTAAGGTTTCTAATTTCCTAATAAATATGTCCTTTTTATTAATAAATCATCAAGTTAATTAACAATTTTTAATAATGTTAAAATTTTATTTCAATTAATAATTTAGATAATTTGATTATTGTATAGGTGAACAGTTAGAAATTTCACTTTTTTAATTATTTTTGTTAAATAAAAAATTCTGACAGGGAGGTATTTGTAATTTTCCAAACCATAGGGGACAATTCGTATTTTAAGCAAACTTCAAGGGTGTATTTGTAATTTACCCAAAAAAATTATACTTTCAGCTTTGCCAGTTTTTTTGTAAGACTATAAACAATGCTGAGATTGGCTCAATGAGGTCTATAAAGAATTTGTAAAAGAAAAATAGTAAAGAGGTCTAGGTTAATAAAAGTCAGTTTTAAGCCAATTGGTTGTTTCTTTTTTTCTTCAAATATTTGGTTTTGGAACTAAATTAATTTAGTAGACCATCTATGTTATTAGTTAGTCATCCTGGAGTAAAGAGTTATGGCATAAACTTACTTTATGCTTGAAGTAGTTTAAACATACTTTATACTTTTAATTGGATGATTATGCATAATGGTACCTCATAAGTGAAGAAGAAGGTGGTTTCACTTTCAACCCTTAATGTTGGTGAAGTGCTCTCTTAAATGTTGTGGGCAAATTCTTGGTGATTGATTTGGAGTATACAACATGTTATCAATCACCTAGAAAGTGAAAAGTATGTAATCCTTTTTTTTTTTTAGTAGGCAAGTCAATTGATTGGTTTGAGGCAAATGTGGTGTTGGGTATGAGGTGAGGAAAAATTGTGAATTTCATGTAATAATTTTTTGAAATGGTTAGTGAAGAAGAAGGTGGTTTCACTTTCAACCCTTAATGTTGGTGAAGTGCTCTCTTAAATGTTGTGGGCAAATTCTTGGTGATTGATTTGGAGTATACAACATGTTATCAATCACCTAGAAAGTGAAAAGTATGTAATCCTTTTTTATTTTTCCTTTTTTTTTTTAGTAGGCAAGTCAATTGATTGGTTTGAGGCAAATGTGGTGTTGGGTATGAGGTGAGGAAAAACTGTGAATTTCATGTAATAATTTTTTGAAATGGTTTACATTTTAGAAACCTATCTTCAAATGGGTTAGATTTAAATGTGTTTCTGAATGGTTTTGATTCCAAAAATATTAAAATGATGAATGAACTAGCACAAGTATTTGGTTATAATCTTTGTTTAAAAAAATAGTACAGTTAATTTTATTTAATGAACCTTGGGTTTAATTTTAGTTAGATTTGCCCATTAACGTTAATTTCAAGTTTGATTCTTTTTTTGTTGCCTACTAATTGTTATACATAATGCTTCAACTAGAAAATGAGTTATGCATTATCATAGGGATAGAAACTCAAAGGAGCATGATCATCTAAAAATGGATACTTCGCACAAGGTAAGCTTTAATTGTTTAAAATTTTAATTTTGTTTAGTTTTACAACCTTCAAAAATTCTTCTTCCTTATAACATGACTCTCTTAGTCGTAATAAAGAAAATTATTCGCTCCCCTTACAAAATTTGAGTTTAATTCTATTTGGAGGTTTGTATGATTTATCGGCATTCTCAATTAATCCTTCTATACTATTATTTGCTTTTATGTTCATTTGTTTACTTTAGTAATGCATACAATTGTCTATTCTTATTTGTTTACTTTAGTAATGCATACATAATTCAATTGACCATAATAGTTATGTTCAATTCTTTTTAATTCATAGCTATTGATTTTCCTATTTCTCATGTGTATTTTGATGCGATTTTTCATGTTACAGTTTCTTTTGATTCAATTATTCTTCATTACAATTTCTTCCGATTTCTCATATGCATTTTCATGTGATTTTTCATAGCTATTGGTTTTTGGAAGCGAATTTAAGCGAGTGATTTTGTTGCAGGTCATTGATCCATATTAGAAACATTGGGTTACGTTGCTTCTACCAATGTATCGTTGGTTGGCTCTCTCATGTTCATAATGTTCATGATGTTCATTGACCTTTATTTGAAGGAATTTAAACCTGATAAAGCGATAGGGTTACCAGTTATAATACTAATTCAATAACATTCTTTTATTGAAGGTTATCAGATTCTAACTTGCTATAGTGTATAGGTGTGTCATTTTGACGTGGATAAAAATCTAAAATTTGCTATTTGGACTTTTAAGTTTAGCAAATATTTCTAGATTCTTTGCATATGCTACATTCAAATACATAATTCATTTTTTGGACTTTAATTTTGAAATTTGCTATTTGAAATTTATAAATGCTTTCGCTAATTCAATGTGTAAAAACAATTTCAATTTCTTATACGTGAAGTTTTAAGTCGGAGTGACATTACCATTTGGAATTGATTTATTATCATTGAGTTTCGTAGCACGTGACAGCAAAAAAATTGTTGGTAGTGCCGTCAGGAATGGGTCATCCCTAGTATATATATATGAGGGGAAAAAAAATTTCAAATGGTTAGGATTGTAAACAAACTGAGTTGAATAGTAAATTATTCAAACTCAAAAGTGAAATATAAATAAAAGAACTCAAAAGTTAAGATAAAACATGGTTCAAATCCAATTGAGACATGCATAGTCCTAAAACCATAGCTAAAATCCAACTGATAAATTTCAAGCTTTCTTTCACTCGCTCTGTTGTTTCACATCCTACATCCTATTTTCTCACCTAATTCACTCACAAATCCACTTCAATACCGCAATAATTTTATTTAAAATTCCCTGTTTCCATTCATTTTCTGCGACCCAGTCAGGCTCCATATCTAATGGCATCTTCAACTCTCTTCTGAAGGCCTTCTTGAGCTCCAAACAAAGCTTGTTCATATTACTCTCAAAATTATCCGACACACTCACTTGCGAAGAAGAAGATGAATTGTCATGTCGATAGTAACCAACGATCACATGACCATCTCTATAAGCCTTAACCGCTGCCAAAATATCTTCACCACGCTTACAAAAATGATCAGAAACAAAGCCCTCAAAATTCCCAGGTGGTTTTCCCAACACATAAATCATCGTCTTGCAAGACAGCGCAAAAACATCCTCATTGTACGCATTGGATTTGTCGAGCCAATACTTATTACTCTTGTTTTTCACTTTTGCATAGGCAGGCTCATTGAAATAAGGTCTGTCAATGAGCACAAGCCCTTGAATTGAAACCAAAACTTGAAGAATTGTCGATGAAGAACTGTTCCACCTCTCATTCTTGTTTCCATCCCAAGTGTTGATGAGGCTTAAACACACATTCCCATTTTCATAGAGATTTGGATTCAATCTGAGACCGTGTGAACGATAATATACTTTGGGGGGTTGGTGTGGGTAGTCGGAAGGGAAGGCAATGTCGAAGAAGAAGAGACCGTCGTGGTAAGGAGTGCTAGGAGCACCAACAATGACAGCTCGGAGAAGGTCAATCCGGTCCTCGTATGCTCGAACATAGATGGATTCTGGGAGGCCTTTTCGGAGGAATTTCCACTCTCTCATAATCTTCATGTGGACAGAATTGTTTACATTTGTGAAACAATCTTTGTTCTTTTTGGGTTTGTTTGACCTGACATAGTAGTGATCTGAAGGGTCTCTGACAATGTCGAATTGCTTAAATTTGAAGGCCACATTATTTTTATCTGAATAATTAAGGAATGTGAGAAATTTTGATGTCATGAAAGAAAATTATAGTAAAACAAAATTATGTAGTAAAGAAATTTGGTTGTGTTTTCACTGTCTTTGGGTTAATTTTTGGGTTTTTTCTTTTCATGTTTTCAAAAACAAAAGCAATAAAAACAAAAACAAACAAAGTTTGACAAGCAAACAAAAACAAAGTTTGTGAGAAAATACTTTTTGAAACTTTTTTGGTGTTTCGTGAAAAATGAGTTGTTTTGAAGATGTTTATCGAAAACCATATTAAAAAATTGAAGCCCATTAACTAAGTTTCAAAGAAATTATAAAAATAAAATGCAAGTGGTTGAGCAACACTGTCTTTGGGTTAATTTTTTGGTTTTTGCTTTTCATGTTTTCAAAAAGCAAAAGCAATAAAAAAAAGTTTGAAAAATTCATCATTTCTATTTTTGTGAGAAAATAATTTTTGAAACTTTTTTGGTGTTTTGTGAAAAATGAGTTGTTCTCAAGATGTCTATGGAAAACCGTATTCAAAAATTGAAGCCCATTAACTATATTTTCAAAGAAAATATAAAAATAAAATGCAAGTGGTGGAGCAAAAGAAAAGGATAAAAATGTTTCCTTGTAATCTACCTCCGCAAAAATAAAATAAAATTTTGCAATCTACTTTGGAGTGATTTTAGGATCAACATATTGGCAGCAGCATAAAAAATAAATAAAAAAAGAGAACCAACAACAACAACAACCAAACAAACAAATAAACAAAAGCAAAAGAAAAATAAAAATAACAATAGTGATAAACGCAACCCAAACTATCTTACTATTCAAAAGCATATAGTAGTACCTGTTGATTCCATATCTGTTCAACTTAAAAGTTGAGGCTGTGAACAGAACATAACAGAAACTTTTATGTTTCAAAATTCTAGTCCCTTGGAGTTTGAAGCAATTCCAGAGTGACGTATATAACTACAACAACACATGACTTTACAGTTCTCCTATGTATATAATTTCTCCACTGAAATGAGTTCTACTTCATTAAGAACTCTAGTAGTCCTATTGTACTGCAAGGCCTTCAACAAAATATATATCACAAAGTAGAGTAATACTAGGATCAAATACAACAACAATAAAAATAAAAATAGTAGGGTGGAGCTCTATCCATACTCCTTTTTAACTAAAATTTATTCTATTTTTTATTTTTATTAAGCAAAGTTATAATAAAACCCTTCATAGTAATTTTGATATTTGTGCATAAGTTACATACTAAGGAAAAAATATAAAATATTTTTAGAGAAAATTTCTAAATCTATATTGTTAATTATAACTACATAATTTCATCAAATTTGTCATTTAAAAAAATGACAAATACAATTTTAAATAAAAAATCATAATTGTCCTTTACAAAAAATAGGAGATGTACATTAGACGAGACAAACCCTTAAGACTACCCAATAAAATGCAAAAATTCTTATTAATTGAACTAACCCCACCTATTCCATCTTCCATCCAAGATGAAAAACTATACCATGGCTTACATATCATGTTTATTTTTGTGCAAAATCGTCTTCGAAAATTTTAAAATGATTTTTTGGTGTTTTCTGAAAACTTAGTTTGTTTAAAAGAAAATATTCCCAAAAAAAATTTTGGCAACAGTTTGCCAAACAATTGAAAACAAGAAACTGAAACCAAAAACTCAATCAGACAGACATAATGCTGGAGCTTATGTATCTCTCTAGTATAACCACCAGTAACTCCACACCTAACAGAGAACTGGCAAGTAAGCGTACATTACTCTCTCCTACACAAAAAGTATCATTGGACAACCAATAAATTTATTGCTATTTTCAACTTTTGTTTATCCAAAAGTGATTTATTTTACAACAAAAGTAAATTTTGCAAATGATTAAATCTATAACTTGGAAGGAGGAGGTTTCTTTGAGCCTCGACCAGCTATGAATTCCTGCATTTTCTTAAACTGCTCCTTCGTCATTCCATTGTAATATTCATGAGCCCTCTCCTGAAAACACCAGCATAATTGTAAGAATTGTAAGTTGTGTCAATTAACAGCACAACCAATCATGATGAATATTTGATAAGCTTTTGCAATAATGTGATTTCTTTTCTAAGTTTGACCATTTCTTTAACAATTCTACTATCAACGCAAAAACCTACTACAAAACCGGACACAAAATATAAATAGATGAATAAAATTTTTCAAAAATGGATCTTACTAACAAATTAAGCGTATTCTGTGTCCATTTATGTGTCTTCTGTGTCCAATTCCGTAATAGATTGTTGTGTTCATACGAGTATTCTTTCTTCAACAATTTAACTCCTATAACTATGCATCAATTTGGCAGTCCAGATTGAAAGACTAGTATGCACCAGAAGCAGATAAAAGATCCAAATTTCATATATTCAATATATGTTTCACATAGTGTCTGCTAAATATTGAACACAATACAAAGCCAACGCATCTGGAATATGTAAGCCATTTTTCTTTTTAATCTTGCATTGATCACATGATCAAGCAAAAGTACTGCATTATGTACAAGTGCTTCTAAAGCCCTACTTCAAAGATCACAAATTTGCGAGTGTGATAACCCTCTTGACTTTGGATTCACTGTGTTCAGACTCGTGTGTTGGTGTGACTGTGTAAGAGCCGTGGCCTATTTCTTTTTCTTCTATAGTAGCTGCCTTAGTTCTATAGTTCTCTTCCCTTCCATCGAAGGAGCTTTCTGTAGGTTATAATGCTGTTTACCAACAAATACGGATATCATAAAGCACATTATACATATGCAATTGGTTTACAGCATAGCCTGAAAAGGGGAAAGGTCGGAAAGGAAGCAGAAGGACCTCTAAAATATGGAGAATAAGTGTTAACTACTAAAGAGGTTCCAAAAATCATTAAATACAAATTGCATGATGTAAATCAATGAACTTAAGGAGATGATTAGAATCAAATCAATGCAACACTGCTACATGATCTAACTTATAGGTGATACTAGAACTTTAAACAAGATTTCATGTAGCTGAAAGAAAAAAAGCCACTTGAAAGAGAGAGATACCTTTTCTAGCGTGAGAGCGTGACCCAGGTCCAGCTTTAAGCCATCATTTATAACTGACTTGTACCTCAACACTAAGTCTTGATTATTTTTTATAATGGCCGCTGCAATTTCTCGGGCTTTCTTCAGCAATTCGCATTCCTCAACAAGATGATTCACGAAACCCAACCTCTCAGCTTGTTCTGCAGTTAGGGGCATGGCTGCCAAAGACACTTCACGAGCTCTGTTGGGCCCTATAATCCGTGAAAGCTTCTGAGAAAGGCCCCATGAAGGAAATATCCCAAACCTGCAAAAAACAAGGTTACATGAATGAATCTTCATTAGATAGATAACAACTAAACACAAAAAAGTGTCCTTGACATTCAAAAGAGAGCAGTGACACACATGACTGAAAAGGTTTCTTCCCTGCGTAGAAGAATATGTAGAAAAATTCTACCATCCCACGGTTGTAGTTTCAACTTTCAACCATAAATTGAGCCATGGATCATCATACTCTAGATTTTTATTTATTAATGGTTTGCAGGTTTCACTCAAACCAACTCAACAAGCATCAATCTCAACAACTTGGGAGTAAGCTAAATTACATTGTCAAAAATTCAAATAAACAAAAAGTGCCAAATCACTTCGTCAAAATCTTAAACTCGAGTATGTTTTCCCTTCTCTAACCAATGTTTCTCCTTTTCTTATTGAAAGACCTTTCAAGAACAAAGCTATTTCTATTTTCTCATGTTATCAAAACCCAACCAAGAAATGTTCAACAGTAACTTAAGCCCACCCAAACATAGCCATTTTGTAGCAAGAATAAGTCTTTACAGAACCAAACACCAATATGAATGTATATGCTTTTTAGATGTGAATCCCTCAACAAATTTTATAAATTTTTCTTGTTCATCATGTGTATTATGTATCACTAGCAGCATTAAACAAAAGTAAAATTAATGATTTCAAAAGCAAAACTAATTGCTTTCGAACAACTCAAAACCAATTTGTATGCTTTCAAAAAAAAAATCATGCTTTTTATGAAAATTGGGGAAAAACAAGAACGGCGAGAGAGAGAGAAACCTAGCGTGAGTGTCCATGAACTTGGCACCCTTGGAAGCCACCAAAACATCGCAAGCGAGAGCGATCTCGAACCCGGCTGTGACAGCGAACCCGCCGATCGCCCCGATAATCGGTTTCCGACACCGCTCCATCTGGGCCACCGGGTCGGACTCCATGTCCTTCACGTCCCCCTTGAAGACGTCCTCGGCGGAAGTCAAGTCAACGCCGGAGCAGAAAGACCGGCCCGAACCCGACAGTATGATAACCAGAACCGAGTCGTCGGCGTCGAGGGACTTGAAAGCCTTAGCCAGATCCGTCATCATCGACTTCGTTAGCGAGTTCAGAGATTTGGGGCGGTTGATCGTCACGAGAGCGATCCCATCTGGTTGGCAGGTCACAAGTATTAGGTTTTCCGGTGACGATCGATCCATTTCTGTCTCTCACCACACATACGTGTATACGTATATTATGTGTGTGTGTGTATATATATGTGTGTATGTATTGGTTTGGGGGAGTGACATAGACCGGGGGGCGTGTTATTTGTGCTTGTGTTGGAGTGTGTGCTGCGGACCTCATCGGTGACAGCATGGTGGTCGGTAACTGGTTTAGCTTTATCTTCTTTAGAGATATTGCTAACGTGGCAGCTCTTTTGTGTTGCTTGGACGACCGTCCATTCGTAGGGACTGTTTGGTGTAATTTACGGCACACACCTTTAACATGTGTGGATTATACTCACTTTCCGGTGTTTTGAAAAGTTGGTAACAAATTAATTTTAAAATTTTTTTGCTGATTTTTTTGGTCAAAAAATTTAATTTTTTTTATGTAAAAAAAAAGTTAAAAAATCAAAAAATTAACTTTTTTAATTTGTTACCAAAAGACCCCTTTATAATTAAAAAATAATGACATAATTTTATATTTTTTAAGAAATAATTAAAAAAATATCATAATTAAATATAATATAAATTAAAAATATTAGAAATCTTAAAAATTCTACTAAAAATTCTACCAAATATCTCACATGGTATGAATCCACGTGTGTGATTTACATTGTGTGGGTCCCACACCTATGTAAGATATTTGATAGAAACTTTAGTATCTCTAACAATATACATATATATATATATATTTTTAATCAGTAAAAGGAAAGTTGCATTGATGAAAAATGGTACATAGTAATCTACGTAAAATAATATGCTTTTACTTAAATGTTTATATCCTTTCAATTTTAAAAGACCATACCTAATTAGTTAAAGGGGAAATTTTAATTTTGTGTAAAAATTACAGCTAAATGATAAATTTTATATACATTAATAATTAAAATTATAATTTTTTTCATAATTTTTTGGTACCCCCGCTGACTAGTAATATCCCCTTATCTCTAGGATATCGAATAAATGCAGCATTTATTATCACACAAGAATAGTCTTTGTAAATGAATCTACTAGTGTGTTTTCTCAAATTTTGGGAAAATTTTAACAAATATAATGGTAGGGACTGAGGCCATCAAGCAAACAAGAAAAATTTTTAAAATGAGATTTGAACTTTTCTCATGTTAAAATGTCAGTATAAGAAAAGTTGAAGGGCTCATAGGGCCTACACATGTATCATTTTGATAATTTAAACTATTTATTTTGGTCTGTTTCTTATTTTATATAATTCATGAAAAAATTTAGACTGATCTGATAATTGTAATTTTTTTTATTTTATAACATTTATTTCTCTAAAAAATGAATGGCCTATTTCAAAAATATATTTGTCTTCTGTTTTTTTTTTTTTTAGACAAATATAATTAAAAGAAAAAGTTACGATTATTGAATTGAAATAATTTTTTTTTTTACGATTAATATACATTGAGGGTTATACAAAATGAACGATCCGAATCATTGAAACAGAACCCAGCCCCCTAAGCCCCTCAAGTTCTTTCATATTGAGATCTCAATATGCAAGAAGTCTAATAAAAAATAATAATTGCAAATTAATAGGGCAGAAGTGCATTTTTTGTTTCGGTGCCAATAAAATTATTGCAAATTGGCACACTTGTAATTTGCACTCCTACTAATTTGCAATTGTTTTTCCTTATTTTTATTTAATTGATATTTTCTTGGGCAATCGGTTTATAAATCAAGTGCTCGGATGAAAAGTTCAAATTTAAATTTATTTTGGCCAAAGTCCACGCACTAAACTTTTCTTTTCATAAGGACAAATTTAGACAATAGGAAAAAGCTTGAGGCCCTTAATTCGGGGACTTTCATGACTTATAAATATGTGTGATTGGTTTATGTGTGTTTTTATCCTTTTTATTTTTTTTCCCCTCTCTCTCTCACATAGGATGATATGAAGATTTATAAGAATGGAGTTTTTATGGAGGTCTTAATCATCGCTCTTAGACAATATGATCAAAATATCTCTCTATATATCATTTACATAATCCAATATAGATCAGTCGTGAT